TTTCTCCATGCTCTGTGAGGCCCCCCTAGGATTGACATTTCTCCGCGGGTTGCAGCAAACTGAGATCTGTAAACTCCCAAACCTCCAGGTAATTGGTGAATCAATACTGGCCAGTACATTGAATATCTTATTCCTAGCATAATATCGACGCTCTTTCCTCCTATTCTTTGAGGACACGGTGGCAGAGGCTGGGTTCCTGGATAATTGCGATGATAATCTGTGTTTATCTCTGTCCAGGCCTCTTCAAGCTCCCAGATAGGGAAAGGATGGGTAATCTCAGGCATGTGCAGTGCAGTAATTGTTGCTTGATAATATCCATCAGCTAGGAAAAGCTTAAACTGCTCCTCCCCAGTTTTGAGCTCTATAGATTGGGCCCCAGCTACATGCATGGTAGTAGGTCCGGGTCTCACTACTGTAGTATCTAATATTCTTGAAGCATTGGATGAGATTGAGGCAGACATACAGCCAGAATCATAAAACATAAGGAGTTCATGATCTTCCACTGAAACATGTTGGAGCAAAAATATTGACGGCTCATCTACATCAGGTACTGTCGGATACTGCCAAGGTTCGTCTACAGGAGTGATGGAGGGCTTCAGATTGGATAAATAGATAGATGGGAACATAGTAAAGAACCGGGTTCCTACAGGGATCAGCTTGTTATCCAACTCCTTAACAAATTCCTCCTCTTTATTTTTGTTCTCCTCAATATGTCTGGTACACATTGTGATATGGTACTGTATGGGAAAATCTCTTTCTTTACATGCGCCTTCCTTACAAGTCCAAGTGGTCTGGCAATTAACTTCGTGACTCTTCTGCCATTCTGCTCTATTCTTCAGATCTATGTTGCTATCCAATCTCAGGCATCTAAAACAGCACTTTTGTTTTCCTGCTACAGAAACCCTCTCTCTAACTCTTGCCTGAACAAACTTCGGACAGTAAAACATATAAGTATGTTTACCATTGCACACCTTACAACTTACTTCCTCAGGTGGCCTATAAGTTGTAGCATGACTAAACGTAGGATTTATCAGTTCATTATCCTCATTCTCCATGCTTGTGTAGGTCTTCTTTCCTCCTGTAGAGATTTTAGAGGTTTCCTTAGACTTACTTTGCTTAGATTCAGCCTCTGCAGATGTGAGGCTGTAGTGAACCTCAAAGGTGAAAGTTTCCACTACAGTATCCAGGTACTCAAAGAACATGTTAAATATCCTTGGCTTGGATACCGTTCCTTCTTTCTGCAAATTCTCCTTGAATTTCTCCAATAACTTATATGGCAGAGCCCGTTGTAGTTCATTTGTTATTGAAGAATAATATAATTCTTCCAAGATCCCATGCTTCTTAGCCATAACCTTGAGCTGAGTTAGTTGAGAACGCACATTCACAGCCCAATCTCGTTTCTTAGTCACTGATCCCTGGCAAGGACCCAACTTTCTTATCTCTTCAATCTTGTTCATAAAAAGAATGTTTACATTTCCATAAGTGTCTTTCAAATATTTGAAAACTTCGCCAATACTCTCCATATGAAGACATGCAGCTCTAGCTACTCCCTGGAGACAGGTTCGGGTTAGTATACGCAACAGCTCACTCCTGGTAGCATTTTTACTTGACGCATAATCTTCCCACTCCGCTGAGAACATATAAAAATCTAGCTTATCTTCCTCGGTCCCAGAAAATTGAGGTGGTTTAACATCTATATTCTTTCCTCCTGTACTGGTGAATACCCCCAGGTTAACTTTCCAATCAGTTTTATTTGCCTCCGTGTCTCGTTCAACCTCTACCAATTCTCTCAGTTGAGTATCAAGGGTTTCAGCCTCCAAAACTTTACCAGCCTCCAAAGCATCTTCCAACAAATTTTTTAGGTCACCCTGGACAGAATTCATCCTCTTTAAAGCATGGCTGAGCACGTCCATGGTTTGGCGAAATTCTGAATCGGTTTGAGGGGCCTTCCTACATGCAGCCTCTAACTCACTTCTCATTAACCTCGCAGCCTCTAAAGTTGAGTCAGTATGTTTTTCCACACGACTTGCTCTAATTGCTATAGCAGCCTCTCTTGCTTTATCCTTCAGTGAAGGTTGCCCTGCCGAGTTGGCTCGTTCTGTTGGCCTTAAGGCCACCTCTCTTTCATGTAACACTTTGCTACACTGTCTTGTGAATGCCAGAATCCCTTTTCTAGCTACAGCCGACCTCTCCCTGTTGGCTGCACTGTAGACCTCATCAGGCTGTAGCAACAATACAGCAGAGACTTCCTGAGCTAAAGCCTTAACTTTCTCCATCTCAGCTAGTTTGTTTCTCAAGTGGTCTATCTCCATCTCCTCCGGGTTTAGGTCACTCAGCTCCTCTTCCCAGATTAACATGTACCTTGCCGTGCCTTGCAAGGCCAGGGTAGGATCCATAGGTTCGGTACCCATAAGATTCCCTCCTCCAGGGCCTATGTCAAATACATCCTGTTCTATATCATGGATAGGTACTGAGAACTGAGTGCTCGCACTGAACCTTGACCTTCTTACGTTTTCTATGAAGCTAAACTCTCCAGGGTCTTGCTCCCATTCCAGAGAGACTCTAGAACTCTCTCCTGTATCTCGACGCTGGGAAACTCCTGGAACCTCGTCTAATAATTCCAGTCGAGCCTCCTCCTCTGGTACAGCTTGTAACCTTGCTGCACCCTCCAAAGAAGACGATCTAGGTCTTCCAGAATTTGTCCTTCTAACCGTCCTGTCCCTATTTGCTAGGACCCATCTTTCCACCAGTCGGCGGTTTCTTGGCCTATCTGGACGAATCGGTGATGAAGTCCTGGTAGATTCAAACCCATGAAACGGCGACGAGGGGCTGCTAGGCTGGCTCATGCGTCGGCGTTAATTTTTGTGTATAAGGCTTAGCTTTATTAATTCACTGTGCTCGCTGGCCGAAAATCACTTACAAACATTTAACTCTTGAGCATAAAAGAGTTACATACACAATCACTGCCTTAATTACACTCGCCGTTGGTAGAAACGCATATATCTTTATTTATACTTGGTTTAAATACAGCAACAGTTGCGGTGAATTACTGAAAAAAATACATAAGTTAAACATATTTATTAAACATTTTGTTATTTAAAAATGCCAGCTGCTTTATTTGCTAAAATAAACCCCTGCCCTCTATGCTACCATATAAATGAGCAAAGCTTAAAACCTTTATTGTTCTAGATGAATCCTAAAGCTAAACTGCCGGTGCATCATTTTCACCTTTCTCTGTGTCTATTTAGATGCCGCCCGTAAGTTACAGAAAATCCCCATACAAAACAAGGAGTCTTAACATGTCTCTTTAGATGCCGCCCATCAGTTACAGAATATTCCCATAAAACACAAGGAGTCTTAACTTACATAGTGCACGCTGTGTATGGCAGTAGCTGTAGTTTCAAAAAGTGATCTCCAGGTGCTAGTATTCTCCTGTGACTAGATAAGTGAGCTCCAACTCGTGTTCAATCAAATTTCAGCATCTCTAAATATTCAAGGTTGACAAAAATGTTCAGCTTCAGAACACAATTAATTAAGGACTTGACGAACCTGCATTTATCCTCAATTTGGCCTGGGAGGATATTTCCACTTTGATCTCCTTCAGGGAGTTTAACCAGAGAAGTAGTTTCCTGCTATATCCAGAGCAGCTCACACACAAAGTGGGTTTATCCAAAATACTCCAGGTAGTTCCGTGGGTTTTCCAGGTAGTTTCGTGGGGACTTTCCAGGTAGTTCCGTTAGTGGTTTCCAGGTAGTTCCGTGATTGGCTTCCAGGCAGTTCCATGGAAGGTTTATTAAGATTATTACTGTAACAATCTCTACATCTAAACAAATCCACATTGCAGAGTTCATCAAAATCCATAAAAAAAACTGTGAAACCTGCTATGGTATCCAGGTAGTTCCGCCGATCCCATAAGCTCAGCCGGTTATTGCTCCAGTCAATCCACTCATCTCCTCTTAATCTTCATGTACAGAATATTATCCAAACCTATTCCAAAAGACCATTTCTTCAACATAACGAGGATATAGATCAATCCTTCCTTTCACCCTTTAACAGATAAAACGTACGGTTACATGGCTTATTTAAATGGTCATTTCCCTGAGTCTAGCGTAGTCAATGTAGAACACTTCAGTCTGGTGTTCGAATACAGAGAACACCTATATAAATACATTTGAAAAGGCAGCAGGGCAGGGGGATTTTACAGTACGTACAGTAATGGTTTATATGAAAGTACTGTATTTTACACACCTATGTGGAAGTGTTAATCAATGATCATTACATAAGGATGCAAATCATACATCATTATCTGAAACATTTGAACTTTTTAGTCAATTTACTTTACTTTAAAATCAATGCTGGTCTTGAATATAAAATTGGCATAAGGCTATATAGATAAAATTGATTATTATACAACACAGGTAAAATTCATTATTATAAAATTACTTTTAGGATAGTCAGCTTATCCCAGATCTTGATGCCACTGAAGTTGAATCTTGGCTTGTAGATTTGAAGTTCTCGTTGTAGAGTAGTGTAGATCAAACTCCTGTGTTCTCCTAATATATTGGGATATTACAAATATTCAACAACTTTATAATAATACACATCATTGATATTAAATCTAATATAATTTCATACCTCTGCTATAATAATACAAATCATTGATATTAAATCTAATATTATTTTCAGACCTCTGCCATAATAATACAAATCATTGATATTAAATCTAATATAATATTCAGACCTCTGCCATAATAATACACATCATTGATATTAAATCTAATATTATTTTCAGACCTCTGCCATAATAATACACATCATTGATATTAAATCTAACATTATTTTCAGACCTCTGCCATAATAACAAAAAACATTGATACTAAATCTAATATAATATTCAGACCTCTGCCATAATAATACAAATTATTGACACTAAATCTAATATTTTCAGACTTATGCCATTGATAATACAAATCTTTGATACAAAGTCTATATATTTTCAGACCTCTGCTTCATCAAATCCAGCTCCTTGGCTCTATTTGTCAAGTAAAGGAAGATTCATCAGGTTTTAACCATTATATATTCTTCCAATGTTTTGTAGGTCGGGTTGTTCCTGGGTGAATGCATATATATTATAAATTCTGGGATGCCATTAAAAATTTATAATTAATGGGAGGGGAGTTTGACTAATATATAATTAGTCAAACTGATTTAATAATTGATTGAGTTTTTTTTCTTTCTCTGGTTTACGACGGAACAAGTGATCTACCAATTCTTAGAACTATTTAATTGGCTGATAAACCAATGGAGTAATAATCTGAGTGATAACTGATTAGTTGATTTGCCGCTTGGTTTTATTTTAATTATCAATTAATTGATAATTGAACGATTGACTGGTTGTTTGATTTGTTGGTTGGCTGGTTAATTGATTGATTTACACTAACTAGTAACTAACTACCACTAGGATGGATGGAACTACCAACTGGAGTAGAACTTCTCTCTCTACTTCTAGAAGTATCTCTTCATGTCTCAGATGATCAGAGTAATCTGACTCTTGTCTCTTTATTCAAGTCTGCAGTCAATCCTTACTTCAGGTAGGAATATTTTTCATGGTAATTGGTCTCTATCCTTCAAATCTCTCACCCTGGACTGATTTGCCTTTTTGTTACGGCCTGTTCTGAACTAGACACGACGGAAATTCCTATACATTAGATACGTCTTTTAATTTGCTTTGTTTCAGATTTCTTAAGAGTTGGCTTTACTCTGGAGAATGTGATTACTCATTTAAAGAATTTGGAATTCTAATGGATGCTAGGTTAGTATTTTTGCAGCAGTTTTACTTCTATTAACAAAACAGGAATGGATTAATAAACTTGTTTTGCTTTTAGATACTCAAGCAATCGGACACAGGAGTATTGGAACAATATGTACGGGCTGACCCCTTTATCAGAACAAGGATCAGGCGCTTCATTTCTAGCTGAGATACAGGTAGAATGTGTACAGGTTGACCCCTTTATCAGAGCAGGGTTCTGGAGGTAAGGTATATTATGTACAGAATTAGACCCCTGTATCAGAGTAAGGTTATTAGTTATGATCATGGAGCTTTATTCCTAGCTGAGATACAGGTATAATATGTACAGGTTGACCCCTTTATCAGAACAGGGTTCTGAAGCTTCATTTCTTGCTGAGATACAGGTAGAATGTGTACAGGTTGACCCCTTTATCAGAGCAGGGTTCTGGAGCTTTATTCCTAGCTGAGATACAGATAGAATATGTATAGGTTGACCCCTTTATCAGAACAGGGTTCTGGAGCTTTATTCCTAGTTGAGATACAGGTAAAATATGTATAGGTTGACCCCTTTATCAGAGCAGGGTTCAGGAGCTTTATTCCTAGCTGAGATACAGATAGAATATGTATAGGTTGACCCCTTTATCAGAGCAGGGTTCAGGAGCTTTATTCCTAGCTGAGATACAGATAGAATATGTATCGGTTGACCCCTTTATCAGAACAGGGTTCTGGAGCTTTATTCCTAGTTGAGATACAGGTAGAATATGTAAAGGTTGACCCCTTTATCAGGACAGGGTTCAGGAGCTTCATTCCTAGCTGAGATACAGGTAGAATATGTACAGGCTGACCCCTTTATCAGGACAGAGTTCAGGAGCTTCATTCTTAGCTGAGATACAGGTATTCCTTAACGAATTTTAATCCTTAGCACTTTTTGCTAATATTGCTATCGTTAAAGCTTTTTAAAATTATGTTTTGAATCATCCTGATTATAATCTCCTGACTTTATAAATATCTATTTTTTTTGTCCATTTTTAGGAAAAAGTGTTTTCCACGGGTAAGTCCTTGTCCTTGCTACGCCTGGTAAGTCCTGATCATCATCTCTCCGGTAGATTCAGAGATATTCAACCAGAATTCATTCTAGCGGTTACAGCTCGCGATCAATCACGTCTCAGGTAAAGAGAGGGGAATTTCTATGATGAAATTTTTTTACTAACCCCTCTTTTCGGTTGTAAAAGATTTTAAGTGAAATCAACCAAAAGCATGAAAATAAAAATGCATCACAAATCTAATATACTTCAGATTAAGCGTGGAAGCGTACACCTGTAAGTTGACCGAAGCAGCTCGTCTTACAACCTTCAGTCTTACGGAGAAGAGGGAGAAAGAGAAGGAGGAGAGGATTCAGGAAGCAAAGATGGTCAAAATCAGGTTCATATTTGTAAATTGTGCACTAGCCAGGATTTGTCTCCATGTCACAGCTGCAATGTGTGGCGCTGTGCCCTGAAGGCAGTCTGGGGTACCCACGTTGGGTTCCATTTCAGAATTACATTTGATTTGATTTACATACTTTACGTCCAGTTTAAAGGAACTGAACTTGTAATTATAAACGATTTTTCATTTATAGAGTGGTATTGTAATGGTACCCTACTTTGTCAGATAAAGGAGGAACGAGATATCCTTTTTTTCTGGTTGAAAATTGATTGGTTTTTAAGAGCGTCGAAATCTTCGTAAATGTTTCTCAGATAAACGGAGAATCATTTCAAAATTACGCCTACAGTCCCTTTAAGACAAGTAGCAGTACTTATTGACGTTGTATGTTTTTTAATATTGCTATCAATATTTTAGACACGATGAAGATTCTGAGAAGATAAGAAAAGAAATGGAGAAGAGGAAAGAGGAGAAAAAGAACGCACAGCAGAAGATATACAAGGAGCTTGTCAAGCACGCCGAGGAAACCAAATCTAGGCGGGAGAAGGAACGGCGGAAGGTTCTCGAAGAGGAGGCGGAGATTGAACGCGAGGCGGAGCGGAGGGTGGAGGAGGAGAGGAAGAGGGAGGAAGAAGATAGGATTAGAATAACCGAGTTTTATACTCGGCTTCAGAGAGAGGCGGAGGTTCGTGAGCTTAGGGCGGAGTGGAGATTGAAGAGAAATAATCCTGGAATCAAATCCAAGTAAGCCATGTATAATGTAAATTGCACGAAGTATGTCTGTTGAACGATCCTCTCTCACGACGGCGATCTGGGAATTTCAGTTCTTAGGACTTTTTAATTTTGCTTCTTCAAATAGTATCTATGGGATCAAAAATAACATTGTTGGTATTTTTTAAAATGTTTTTTTTTATTCAAAAGGAATTCTACTTTGTTTTAATAGCTTAAAACAACATCATGGGTTGGACCAAAAATAATTTTTTGAAGGTTAGGATAGGACATTATTTGGCCAGAATAATGGACTGATTGGGAATTTCCAGTAACATTTTATTGATAATTTACGGAATCCCCCCCCCCTACTCGTACTGAACCTGCATCAATTTTGATTCTCTAGGAGGATCTTGTTACATCGAACACTAGCGACAAGTCTGGAGAACCGCATGAAGATTGTTGGTATCTCTAAACCCTTAGAACCTGTCCCTGCACAGGCAAGGAGTTTTGATGGATTGTCAGACCTTGAGATTCTGAAGGACGAGATGGGAAACTTTACCGTCAGGTTCAAGGACTCGGAAGGGAACATTCTCATGGAAAGCTTAGATTTCTTCCAACCTTTTGACTCGGAACTTCAAAACCAACTCGGGTCAAAACCTTTCTCTGAACTTTCAGATCATCTAAAAACCAAAATCATTCATGGTTTAGAGTTCAGATTATTACAGAAACAACTCCATACTCCAAAACCAATAGCGAGCACTCCAACCCTTTCCCGGAGAAGGGAGAAAAACCTAACCACAATATCCGATTACCTAACCCAAGGAGAACTGGAATTTCCGGATAAGAACGGAAATCTTGAGGAAACCTACGATGCTCCAGACACTGTCGGAGAACGAAAAAAACCGTCCGCGGTTCCAATAGAACGTCTTCTTTATCCTCAGAGATTTAACCAAGAAAAGGTAGTGGAGACGAAGATAGTAAGAACGGAGATTGTGCTCAGAAAATCCTCTAAACCTCTTCCGTACACTAAAGCATTTCCAGAACTCAAGCTCCCGCCAAAACCGGTAATACAGTGCATTAAATTATGTATTTCGTTAAATTTTCAGAAATTTTCAAAATAAAATTTTAATTTGAATTAATTTTGAAATTTGTTTTATAAAAAAATAATCTGAGCTGAAAACTTTAGAATGGTGGATATCGAGATTATTGGTTTGGTTGATCCTCTCTTTTTCTTAATATGAGACCAACCTAATCTTGTACTTGTATCCTGTAATGTGTATAAAATTCAGCCAATCAGAGTCGCGAATATGAAGCAGATGAATTTGAAATTTTGCGTGCCATTTAAGATTATTTTCAGAAACGGGAAGGACTCTAATTTAAAAAAAAAACGGGTTTTGATTTTTCTTTACTATGTACGTTGGATACTCAGATTAAGTTATTGGGATTAAGGATATCTCATTCAGCTCTGATTGATTCACATAAAAGTAAAGGTTAATTATTCATTTATTGTTTAGGATCAAATTGAGCCATTGAAGGAGCTTGAGACAAAAACATTTCCTCCTTTGGGTCTAATCCTACAGAACTCCGTCCTAGTTCCACTCAGGTAGAGATAAAACACACAGAACATCTTTAAAGGAACTATAAGCGTAATTTCAACCTGAACATTTTTCCTTGGTATAAGTTTCAATTTGTGATTATTGTTTGTATTTGTAGAGCCCAGAAGAAGTTGGTAGATTCCGCCCTACTTAATCATATGCTGGTTCAAGCACAACTAGAGGAACATCTTCAAGCTCTTAGGAGGTAAACTCCGATTATTATTATTATTATTATTAATATTTTATTATTATATTATTATTATTAGTAGTATTTTATTATCATATTATTATTATTATTAGTATTTTATTATCATATTATTATTATTATTAGTATTTTATTATCATATTATTATTATTAGTAGTATTTTATTATCATATTATTATTATTGTTATTATTATTATCAGTTAAAAAGACACACTCACAATAAATTTTTTCCCATCAAGAATTTTCTTTTTTAAATTTCTCAAAATTTATAAATTTCGGTTGAAGGTTTTCTCTAAAATTCACTTTCGGATTTATACAACAAATACTATGAACCAAATCAAATCAAATATTTATTACATGAAGACATAATTATTATTAAAAATATAATTAATAATTATCACAAATTACGATAAATCCTCATGAGGAAAATCTTAAGAATCGGGTGGGCCGGGTTTTCATTAATTTCCCTGTTAACAGAGGGGGGTGTGCCCGTTTTGGGAATTTTAGCATCCACAGGAATTGTTCAGCTATTAACATGATGGGGCAACATCAATTCTCCATTGCGCACCTCTTTAATACACATGAGTCTCTTATATTCTTTATTTCTGGTACAGCGATACAGAGCTAGGACCCGTGAACTGAAAAACAATAAATCAGTCACGGGTTGCATAAATATTAAATTAGTAATAGAATAATTTAAATAAATAAAATTAGCCAAGTTTACATTAAAATTTGCTCCAGGTGTGCTAAATGTGAATAAATTGTAACAAATATATATAAATTAAGATAACACTTACAAAGTTGATTAGGCCGGAGAATTTAATAGCTCTAGAGTTGATGTTTGTGACCAGCTGTCTCTTTTACATAACTAGAAATAATAAGAAGAGTTCATAACTAGAAATAATAAGAAGAGTTTATATAAAGGCTTGTCATGTGTTAGATAAGATAGCCACACTTTCGTCTTTAATTGTTCACAGATATCGCACGAAACTTGATTATACCTTTATCTGCTCGAAAGCAGCAGTCCCGGTTTAGAGAAACACAGATGCTTCCGACGGGACTTCTCCGAGAGGAGGAACGGATACTGCTCCGAGATGATGAACTGACACTTCTCCGAGAGGAGTTACGGATTGTGTCAAGATCTAAAAAAGATTAAGTTAACATTAGATCTAAATCTTGAGAGCAGTTCATATTCTATCTTCACCTTTGTCTGCTCGAGAGCAGCAGTCCCGGTTTAGAGAAGTACAGTTACTTCCGACGGGACTTCTCCGAGAGGAGGCAAGGATACTTCTCTGAGAAGAGGCAAGGATATGATAAACTGACCAATATACCTGAGTACTAGCATAATAATGTCAGTGACACATATTCTCTGGAAATGAATATGTACAATAATAGCTGATATNTCATGTTGAAGATACAAACAGACTCTCATTCGTGTTGAAGCTATCATCCTCGTCCAGGAGTATGGCGAGGACACATCACCTGTTAGTTTATTAGTTCATAGTTCAAAACAGGCGTTGAAATACACGTACGATCTGGATTCACTTTATATAACATCCATAAGTTTTAATGAGCTTAGATTCAAAAGGTTTTAGCCAGTGTTACATTTACATTTAAATAAGATGTTTTATAAACCTAGCATTGCACAACCTGGAGTACTAAGGCAGGATAACGCAGTTATTCTAGCCCATTATGGTCTGAAATATATAGACCATTAAATATAATTTTTTAATATAGGCTCTTTAAATTATAGACTTAGACGTTATAAAAAAGCTTGTTAAGCTTGAAGATCTAAAACTTTAGGCCAGAAAATACATTTAACATAAAACTTTAGTTAAATTCTCAGATAAAATCTTATATATAATTTTGAATAAATGTTCATGTATATAATAGTAGGAACAAGTATAGAGTTAGATGAGAAGATCTTCATGGGCTTCTTTAGATCACGATTTCTGGATTCAACCTGAACATCAAGATTTAAGAAAAGATCCGTAGATCTTACACTAGGAGAATTATGTGATAATTGTTTCAAGAATCATACATGTTAAAGTAGATAGAAGACTAAATGTCACAAATAAATTCAAATACCAAAGACGACTTTCAAGTCGTCTTTCTATTGTCATGTTTCGTTGGACACCCTGTACATTCTGCAGTATGGAATTTTTTCTACAGCTTGACATCATACTTCCAATAGTTTACAACAACAAATTTCTGCCCCTAACATCAATTAATCAACATTAATCAACATTTGGGATCGTACTAAATGGAATTATCTGGACTCCTGCTACTCAAAAGTTTACAGCACTAGCTCTAACATTTTTCAGCTGAATTTAGGGATTAAACCCTTGATGGGCTCGGACAAATTTGCTGTAAAGAAGATGGAGGTTTGTGAGATCTGTGGAGCCTTCCTTATTGTTGGAGATGCTCAGAGTAGAATAGGAATCAGTCGCCAGCATATTTATAATTATATCTACATATATATATTTATTATTCCTTTTAAGATGTTTTTTTTTACATTTGATTTAAATTTATTGTCTATTCCTCCTCATTTTGAGCCACATCCCTGTTCTAGCCTTTACAGAACTAAATAAGGTGTTTTGACTTAGAATAGTTTTTTAATAACAGTTTTAATGGTTAACGATTGATTCTCATGCCGCCATTTAATTTACGTACTCAAATAAATAAATATCGCGGATTTTTCTGTTAAAATTTAACGTTTTTTTTCATGCACATTTTTTAATTTTGAACTTTCATAAATCCTCCCTGTTGGAGCTTATTCAAGTAGTTGAGCCCAATCGTTTCAGCCGTTTTGACGTTTATTTGATACAAACTTACAAACAGTCAAGCCATGAATAAAAAGTAAATATCTGGACTGGTTTAGATGATCATCTAATGGGGAAACAGCATGCAGGATATACAAGACTAAAGGAACATCAATATTGAATTTAAAAAAAAAGATTTATAAAATGTTTTGTTGTGACTGTTGAGTGTCGATACTTTTATATTTTTTGTTCATGGTGCCATCTTCCATTGTCTTACTATTTTTAGGAGGCCTTGGAACGATGATGAAACCGCGTAGACGTGGCTTGAACCAACGCACAAGAGAAGTGGTTGAATCACGTCTGTGTGGTTTAGCTACTTGCTATTTAAAAAGCTGGTCCCCCTTGTTCAAGAGTTAAAATTGTTGTTATGCTAGTCAAGCTTGGAGGCTTCAATTGAACTGAGGAAGAAGAAGAGAGAGGAGAGAGAAAAGGAACGGGTAAGAAAGTTTGTTAGTCTATTAAAAATCTTATAATTTATACTTATACATTTTACTTGGACGTACAAATTTATTTCTTCAATAACAAGTTTTTTAAATTTTAGAATTGAAAAATTAGCAAAAAATTATATTAAAAAATTATGAAATGTTTGTTATTTCTTAAGAAATACACACTACGGACAAATGGACAAATGGACTGGAAATGAAGCGGTTATTGGTTCCTTAGTTCAAAAATGTCCATTAACGATTTACAATATTATTTTCTGGAAATTTTCTGGAAAACGACGCGCGAAGCACTACACTACAGTCAAAAAGCAGCTAATAAATTGTCATGGTATGTTTATTACCAGATGGCAAAGGGAAATTTCGTGGACAATCTCTTGAAAGAAATTTCTATTCTAGGAGGAGTGGGCTGAGGAGAGAAGGAAAGGGAAGGTTGAGGATGAAGATAAAGAGGAAAAGGACGAAGGGCAGAAGAAACGAAGTCGCAGCTCTGAACGCAGATCACACGATCGTAAATCACATGATCGGAAACGATCCCGAAGCCGTGATCGTAAACGTTCTCGGAGCCGAGATCGCCGACGTCGGTCCCGGAGCAAGGATAGCCGAAGGAGGAGTAGGAGCAGGAGCAGAGACGGAAGACGGGGACGGAGATATTAGACCTGGGTCTCCTCCTATTTACTAGAACACCCTGAGCTATCTGAGTCCATGTTTAATCCCCCCCAAGTACTGCTCAACCAAGTTCAGGTGTTGTCCCATACAAATCTGTTTGTTCTTCAAATTATTTTGTTTTGATTTCGCGTGTTTTTCTCATGTGCGTTTTAAGTTTAATAAAATCTGGAATCTGAGATTAGAATGCACTTTGAAATTATAACAGCTTTCGCATAATTTTCATGTCGATTTCTGTCTAGTTCATTCTTGTTAAATTTGTAAATTTAATCTGTCCATAACGTTTAAATGATCATTTTTTAATGCAAAAAGTGATTTGTATAAAACAAACAAAAAATATTTTACTTTCCGCTTGTTTTCTTCGTTAAAATATACGAAAAGTTCTTTAATGAGATATGTTGACGCAATACGCATACTATATAATCTAACTGCGTAGGTTACTCCCAGTCCCGCTTCTTGTGACAGTTAAAGGGTTTAAACTGGTTTAAAGTAAGTTAAATGCCAGGTATTAGATGTATTTTTTACAGGGGTATATATTCATTCAACAATTATAATACTATGCTTCCTTTTATTTTTTTTTGTTGTTCTCGCAAACCTTTAAAACTTGTTTTTTTGAAATTTATATATGTAGTAAAAAATTCAAAAAAGTCTCGTGTACTTTTTAGAAGAATATATACCCTTGTGTCATCGAAGTTTTCTACCAAAATACTTTCTTCTAACCTTGAGGTAAAACAATTCTAAATAACAACATAACAGAGGTAACTTACGTTCATCTTTGGTCTTTAAACACTATTCTTCATATTGAGGTATCAACCCCACCCCCTCCCCCTCCCCCTAGCTTGCATTTGGACTCAACATCGTTGATTTCTAAGGTACTTTAAATCAACTTAGGAATAATGATGGTTAAATCATATCTGTCGGCGGTTCAAGGTATAAATTAACCTGCATAGTTGGTCAGAGGAAAGAACTTCTGAATGGACGAAATGATCTAAACTTATTTCTTTCATTCTTTCATTATTTCTTTCTTAGTCGTTTCTTCCTCCCATTAGGGTCTAATTTGAAACCATTTCTCTACCCTTCCTTAAACCTGGTTCAGCTGTTTTAAGGTACATCCGTGTATAGACGTGAATATCTCAAGGTTTCAGATAGAATGGGTTTACTTAGTATACTCAAGAAGCTGAAGCAGAAGGAGAAGGAGATGAGGATTCTAATGCTGGGTTTAGGAAAGCATTTGTAATTTGACTCACTTGCTCGAGACATTAATGCTAAAGGGCGTATACAGGAATTTTTCCTGGAGGGGGGGGATCAGTCTATTTAGTTCCCTATATACGCTCATGGATAGGAGTGTTATTTAGTTTTTATTTATGAAGGACAAAAAAATGGTAGAAAGAGTAAAAAGACTAGCAAAGTATTGATATTACAACAATTGGTGTTAAAGAAAACATCGTTTAGTTTAATGAAAAAAAGTTATTAAAAAAAGGCAGCAGAGCAAGGTAAAATAGGAAAATAAGTTGTTATAATAGAGGAATTTTAAGTTGAAAAGGGGGAGGCCATTTGTTGAAATAAAGTATTGGAGAAAAAAATGCTTGTTATCAGATAATGCTGGTAAAACAACAATCCTCAAGAAGTTTAATGGAGAGGATATTACAGAGATTGCTCCAACACTAGGATTCAATATTAAAACCCTTGAACACAGGAATAGTTCTTCATCTTATGTACTTGGTCATTTCTCAGAGGCGCAAGAAGACCGTTAACCCCTAAAATTTACAGGACTACAACAGGGGAAATTAAACCAAGGCATGATTTATTCTCAAAAATATCCGAAACTCTACCTACAACTGCATTCTAAATTATTTTTCACGCATGTGAACATAAATAATTCTCTCTCTACCCCCCCCCCCCTTAAAAAATCCAAATTTTGTTTCTGTCCCTTTAGTGATCTTTCACAAGGGTTTCTTTTTCATGATTATGCGTACTTCCTTTTTCATAATCTTACGCACTTTGTACCTCATTTTACGCAATCGGTCATTTTACAAAATTACTCATTTGGACCATCTCTAATATATTGCTTACTTGGCTGAAATAGCCAATTTAATAGTTCAACATAATTATTCTTATATACAATTTTTCACTGTGTCCTTTTTCAATTATCTAGTTTTTCAATATTTTTGGAAATAACAAAGAATACATTACATATGCAGGATATTCTTTTAATTTGGCAAAAAACTGAAAATTTGAAATATAAACCCTGGATCAAAAAATTCATTTTCCTAGTTTACGCTTCCATATATGAAAGGAAAGTTTATCTACGGAGGATAAGAACTAATATATTTAGAGGATTTCAGTTAAATATCTGGGATGTTGGAGGACAGAAATCTCTCCGATCCTACTGGAGAAACTACTTCGAGTCTACTGATGGTCTAATCTGGGTTGTAGACTCAGCTGATAAAAGAAGACTAGGTATGTCATTTCCCCTCTGGCAAAAAGTATTCAGAGGTTTGTTTTTTATTTAGTATTTCATCATTCGAAGATTTCGGAGAAAAAATTAAAAACATTCCAACGATTTTTTTATGATAAAATGAAAAAATTTACACTAATTAATTGTTTTTTTTCTCTCTTTTTGATACGCTGCTAGTATTCTATGTTTATATATATTAAAAAAAATACCAATACCATATTTGTATGATTACAATCCATATATACACTTTGCTTGTCTGTTTGTTTGTCTGTTCTTTTGTATCCAATAAACGTCAAACGGATAAACCGATCGAGTGCAAAAGTTTTGAGACCCCGGGGAAGGTTTTTGGATGATCAAACTTTAGAAAATGTCTACTAAAATATCAATAAAAGAGAAACAATTAAAAGTTATGATCGGAAATGGTCAAATTTAACATAAATTTGAAATTAAGCATCTCTTAGAAATCCGCTAGATAACCTTGATAAATTCTTTTTAGTACTACTGATCACTGAAGATTGCATCTAGCATAAAACATTGTGTTTATAAATAAAATGTGTGAAGAATATTGTTGTGTTTTCGCTATATATATATACATATTGTGTATATATGTATATATATTGTGTTATAGAGGACTGTAAGACGGAGCTGCATAAGCTGCTGGAGGAGGAAAGACTGCTGGGAGCAACGCTGCTAGTATTTGCAAACAAACAGGATCTACCTGGAGCACTGGGAATGGACGAAATCCGCGAGGTAAAAATTATAAAACTTCTTATTCTTAAAGGATTGTAGGTGAAATTGTACATGGACCTCGTTTAAAGAGTTCTCCAGTTATAACAGGGGTATATAATCTTAAAAATTGATGATCCAAGGGGGCGGAGGGGAAATAAAAAATTTGACCTCAAAAGGTACGTTTTTAAACTAAAAATGGAGTTATTGTCCCTAAAAATCATTATTATTCTCAGATTAAGCGAATTAAATCCTTAAACTAACATCTTGAGGAATAAAATGTGTAAAATGTGTGGGGGGAGGGGGGTTGAACATCAGTGTTTTTTGCTAGTCTGTTGACGTTTAAATACATAATTAATGGTTTTAAAATTGAACTGCTTGGATTTTCTGATGACACTTCTTTAGAAATGGCGGAACACTTAAGAATACATATGTAAACATTATATACACCTACTGGCTACTAGAACATATTTTCAAAAAGAAAAAGAATAATTTTTATTTCAGGTTTTACAGTTGGATCAGATTACAACCCATCACTGGATGATCCTGAACTGTAGTGCTATAACCGGAGAAAATCTTCTTCAGGAAATGAAACATTCTTTCTATTAAATAAAAAAATGAGCGGTTCATGCCTTTGTAATTTTTTGTTGCCTCGAACCCCCCCCCCCCCCTATTCAGCAGTTGTTTTTATAAACTTTCAAGACGAAATGGACAATGAGACATTTTTAAAGAAAAAATCTCAGAGTAAAAAAGTATTTGTTTGATTAGACAAATCGATTATCTTTAATACGCAAGAAATTTTTTTGTATATCTTCAGAAAGAAAAAAAAACAGATTTTTAAAAAAATAATTGAAAAAGTAAAGAATATTTTGTCTGGCAGGGAGTGGACTGGATAATTGATGATATTTCAGCCAGAATTTTTACAATGGACTGAATTCTCTTCAACTAATGTACATTGTGAACTTTGTACACTGTACACTGTACACTGTACACGAATTTAATACACACTACACGCTAAGTGTACAGCAGCACTTCAGTATGGTTTCTTGATGTTTTAATTCTAAACCTTCATTCAAGAATATGTCAAACGCAAAAATCGTTTCAGTCATGCACCTTCAAGTTTAACCAATAAAAACGTGCGTTTCAGTCATGCACCTTCAAGTTTAACCANGAATAAAAGACAAAGATCTTAATCAGTTCATGTCGAACTGATTCTTTTACTAGATAACCTGATTTTATCTCCTCTTTTTGGAAGATTCAGGATCTAATATCCAGGAAATGATTTCTTTTGTGTAAATGATTTCGCGATTTTGTTCAGGAGATTAACACAACCCACTACAATACCTTCTCCCCATATAAAAATACTCAGGGCACATTTAACATGCTGTATCTAAATGTAGTATTAACTTGAAAACAAGCAAATTCATTATAATTGGTAAACAAACAAAACTAAACTAAGGAAACACTCGCACCACATGCATTACCTTCAAATTAAGAACCAATTTTTACATATTAAATGGTTTTAAACGTACAATGTAACATTAGAAGAATAAGAATCAGTGATAGTCAGAACAAGAGCATAGAACTTATTTGCAACCTTTAACAATGTTAACTGTTCCATCTTAAAATAGTCGGATTTTACCAGAATTATTTTTACTATAATTTCTTGGGGTGCCCATGGAACCTCACAAATATGATATAATAATAATCTTATGATCTTTTTCCTCATGAGATTATCATATTACAACTATCAATTGCCTACTAAATATATAATGAAGTAATATAAAACCGTAAAATACAAAGTTACCGTACTTTAAAGCAAGGAAGATACATCTAGAGGCAGAAATAAAACCCTGCCTGAGTAGCACTGAGTTTGTCTACATTTTTCGCAGAATTTGCAGTACACTTTGTTTGTAAACAAATAGATGGGGGTTCCTGGTGTATATTTCCTGTATCAAAGTACTGTACTGCATTGTGAACAGTAATTTTCTGCAGCACAGCTCGGAGTATACATTCAGAAGTATAAATCGTTAACATATTGCATAGTTATACTAATTTTGTGATATAATTACAAGCTCTTGTGATTCTGTAAATTAATGTATAATGTTATATTAAATCTGAAATCTAAAATCACAGCAAAAAAAATAATTCGTTCAATTTTCAGATAAAATGAGGTTTCATTGTTTGTCGGGAAACCCAAACAAGCCCTGTAGTATTATACAGTTTAAACAGGCAACAATCATGTTAGGTAGGGACCAACAACCCAAACAAGCCCTGTAATATTATACAGTTTAAACAGGCAACAATCGTGTTAGGTATGGACCAACAACCCAGACAAGCCCTGTAGTATTATACAGTTTAAACAGGCTACAGTCATGTTAGGTATGGACCAACAACCCAGACAAGCCCTGTAGTATTATACAGTTTGAATGTAATGACGACATTTTAGTAGTACTTGAGTGTATGTTGTTTACTAGACACTTCTTAATCAATAATGTAGTGAAATGGGTCTGTTTAGATTTATACAGATTTATAATTATTTTGAAGAAATGAATTACCTGTTTATAAATTATTGCTTATCAAAAATTTTGATTTGATCCAATCCAATGGATCCAATCTTAGTCTAGAATTTTCAATTCTAGAATTTTAATAAATACGAGGTATAATTTAAGAATTAAAGAGACTGATAGCTCAATTTCAAGTCACCCTTATCTAGACTTAAAAGTGTTTTGTTATGATAAAACCTTTATCTTTATGTTTTCCTGCAATTCAAATGCGCATGTCACTTTTGTAAAGAAACCACAATTGAATGTAATGTGTTTTTAAGATTATAGTTATTAATTATTAATTCATTATTAATCAGGCAAAGCTTTTAAGGGTTGTTGTGAATCGGGCATTGCACTTGAAATAACGCTTACAGTCTCGTTAAGAAAGGGTTTTTGAATTAAATTGGAAAAAAATTAAAATAAGAATCTTTTTACCCAGAAAAAAAAACCTTATTCCTAGAAGCCTAGTAGAATTACCTCGTAAAGAGAAGAGCAACATAACTAAAGCGTCGTGTTATGTGTGGAAAACATTTAAGTTTGGTAAATCAAGCCTAAATTAGAGTAAAATACTAAAAAAGATTCGTATCAAAATAAAAAAGATTTCAACTAAGTTTGATTTTTTTATATAATAATCTATTTTCTCAAATTGATGTAAATTTAGATTTAGTAGAAAGCTTTTCTCTCATCTTGTACTCAAGCAAAAGTCACTTTGGGTTCTAGGAGTAGGAGTAAGAATCTGATTTCATTTCGATTTCGATTTCTTTTTCGATTTCGATTTCTTTTTCGATTTCGATTTCGTCCCTAAAAATGAAAAGTATTTACTTAAAGAAATTAAAAAGAGTTGCCATTAATAAAAACAGAGAACCAATCTTTATATAGTTATTAGTCAATACATATGTTTTAAATCTGCCTTATTTTACTAACAGAAGAATAAAAAAAACTTTTAATGCAGATTTATTAAGTTTAGATCATACTATAGGGGTTCTTGGAGTAATCCAAAAACTAAATCTAAATAAAAGGTATCCCAGTTTTGAAATATTTTGTGTCTAGATTGCGGACTGGATCTAGGAACCCTGGAGAACTATCTACCTATCCCTCTAGTGAGCAGTGCCAAGGTGTACTCTCTCCCCCAGTACTCCGGGGGGGACAACAACCTCGGCTCCGAGCTCAGGGAGAACAATGGCAGAGTTTATATTGATTCAGAACCAGAGTTTCTTCCTCCTACTTCAGAGTTCTTCAACTTCAGGTCTTTATTCTTAAGGGGACTGTAGTCGTAATGTCGAGTGATTTTTCATATATAGAGTGGCATGTCTGATTCACGCCGGTTCTCTTTAAACTTGCGGCTGATCAAGAATGACTTAAATAGTAGTGTGTTTCATTTTTACCCTAAAAAATGAAAAGTGCAATCTCAAATACCACTTTAAGTGCCCGGGGTTGCCCGTGGAATAAAAAAAAACAAATATATTTCAGCGTTTGGGTTCCCTCGAAAATTGTCAGTCAATTTGGTCCAGCCGTTTGGCCAGCTATATATATATGAGCGAAGAACTTTATTTTATAGATTTTTACAATTATCACTAATATCGTGTGACATGTTGCCTTTGCTACAAACATTATCAAAATAATAAAATCTCTAAAGATCATAAATAATTTTGTGTTTTAGAGATATTGATGTGATCCTGATCTCCAACTATACTTGTATGCTGGCTCTTCCCTTCATCACAGAGAACACAGGTTTCAAGTAAGAATATAAAATAAAACATCAGTGGGTTTTATTAAATTGAAAAATATTTTCATTTTGTCAAAATCTTTTGAGCAGAACGGCTTAGACATTTCAAGGGGGTTAAATGAATTTTTACAAACTTGCATTGAGAGAAAAATGTTTCCGAGAGGGAGGGGGGATTCTTTTAATTGAATACACATTTTAAACTCATGCAACCGATCAAAATTAAGAAATTTTACAGAATAGCCAACAGAGAAGAATAGCGGAAGAATCATTTTCTGCATTAAATACTGTATTAATTACTAGTTGCTTCATAATGAAATTTTTTTTAAATCTGATAATAAAAAATTCAAATGTGTTTTAAAAAAAGGTTTCAAGTTATTAAATCTTGAAAATAAACTCACATCCTCAGAACAATCCATCTTTAGGTAGAATATCTAATGTCAATTGAATAAATTTATCCCAGAGAATTAATTGAAACATTGCAGAGAAGAATATTTGAAATAATCATTTTCTGCATTATATACAGTATTAATTACTAGTTGCTCAATATTGTAATTTTTAAAATCTAAAAAAAGGCAAAATAACTTATTTCTATTGGCTCTCCTATAATCCACACTAACTTATTTCAGGTAAAAAAGATTTGAAACTAATTAAACGAATTATTCCAGGGGGAAAGTGTTCGCTACTGAACCCTCTATCCTGCTGGGCAAAGTATTTATGGAAGAGATGATAGAGTTTCTGGACCGTGCTCCCAGGATTAATAAACCAGGTAGATATTTGTTAAAAGTCATTCAAAACGGAACCTTGAAACTACTGATCTGTTAAATCTTATGGTTGGTTTAAACCTAAACATTTAATACTTTGAATGGTTTTAAACAGTATCGTAAGTACAAAATAAATTGGACTGTAATGACTAATGATTCATTGTATTGTCATTATTATTATTATTATTATTATTTTCATGTCACTGAAAACTGAAAATGATGACAAATTTAAATGTTCTCTGCTTAAAGCTTACCATGTACTGAAAACCAATTTTTTTTATCTTTATCAAACTCTTATCTATTTATAAATGGAAGTATGGTATTCTTATTCAATGAAAATTGTTGAGTACTAAAAACCAGCTTTTTAAAAAATGAATGTTAATTGTAGATCGCTGGAAGCAATTCCATAAGCACCTGCCTCCTCCCATCTGTGATATGAAGAACGTAAACCATCTGAAGCAGTTGTACAACAAGGCGACCATCAACAACTGTCTCGCCAACGTCCAGATTGTCGGTCACAACGAGAAGACAGACTGTTTCGGACTTCTGCAGGTTAGATGGCAGGGTGCATCTATGTATATTGTATATATATAGAACTCAGGAACCCCTGAACCAATTTGCCTAAAATTATGATTATGTAAGTCTTAGTTGAAAGATTCTAAATTTATTTGGCTGACTTTTATAGGTAAAAATTAGTTTCCGAGAAAAGCTGCGTTCCAAAGCCGGTATTTAATTATATAAAGTAATATTTATATCCAAATAAACTTCAAAGAAAAAATAATTACCGTTTCAATACAATGTCCTCACAAACATTAAATAAATAAGTATATTGGAGCTTCATAAATGTTAAAATTTCTCATTTTAAGTTTTATACGCAGAAAGATTTTTGATGTTGACATCGGTATCAAAAAATGTCTCTCAAACCACTTTATACTGTCCGTTTTTCGATATGTCAAAAACTAGGTTTTTTTTATCCTCTGACAAATATCTTTCTAAAAATACGTTTTTTTCTTTAATTTGATTAATTTTCTTGGGATTTACTCATTTTTACGATTTTAACTTTCATGAACTGAGATTTTTACTTTTAAGACATAAAGATTTATTAAAAATTAAAAATTCTCGCTTACATTTGTGATTTGATCTTCACAAAAAAAGCAAAATTTTGAATGTTAAAAAAAAAATTAATTTTTTAAAAACTTATAAACTTTAGGACTAGTGCAAGAGTGATTGAGTATTTTCGTCAAAAAAGTGTCCCATAGTTTTACCCTTACTGAAATCAAGATTACTGTAAAATACAACAGATCTTAACCCATTTTATTTAGCGCTCAACATCTCTGATTTATTTTATTTTTTTTCATTATTTTCAATTTAAAACCTTTTAAAAATCTTTATATCTTGAGTTAATCCAAGTTCTGACAAAGAATATCTATTAGGTGACCCCCGTCAGCTCCGGGTACTGTATTGGATCCTGCAACTGGATCCTGTCTACTGGATACGAGAAGATCGTTTATATCTCCAGCAGTTCAACACTCACAACTCATCCTAGAGCCATTGATCAACTTAGTATCAAGGTTAGTTTAATCCTCACAACCCATCCTAGATCCATGGATCAACTTAGTATCAAGGTTAGTTTAATCCTCACAACCCATCCTAGATCCATGGATCAACTTAGTATCAAGGTTAGTTTAATCCTCACAACCCATCCTAGATCCATGGATCAACTTAGTATCAAGGTTAGTTTAATGGATCAACTTAGTATCAAGGTTAGTTTAATCCTCTCAACCAATCCTAGATCCATGGATCAACTTAGTATCAAGGTTAGTTTAATCCTCTCAACCCATCCTGAGACGTTTTTCTACATTAGCATTGTGCATAGCGGATAGAAACTTGGTTGAGGACGATTTAGGGATAGTTCTTTCTAGTGCTAGGTTTTTAAGGTCCTGGCTTAGAAATAAAAGCCCAGAAAATCCAAAGTGTAAGTAATGACTAAAAACACACTTCAGCTTCTGCCATTTTTAAAACTTACATTATTTGTTTTTACAGATTTTTTTTTATTTGTGAATACTCCTGAATTTTAATACAAAAAACAAAAACAATCAATGATGGTTTTCAATAATGTGAAATCTTTTTGTACACTACGGTCCCCTATATTTTTATATTAAGATTAAGCTAATACTAATAAAGAATATATTTTTATTAAGATTAAACTAATCCTGTTCTAATCTAGAATATATTTAAATTAGGAATAAACTAATCCTGTTCTAATTCATATATTTATATTAAGATTAAACTAATCCTGTTCTAATTCATATATTTATATTAATATTAAACTAATCCTGTTCTAATCTAGAATATATTTATATTAGAATTAAACTAATCTGTTCTAATCTAGAATATATTTATATTAAGATTAAACTAATCATGTTTTAATCTAGAATATATTTATATTAGAATTAAACTAATCATGTTTTAATCTAGAATATATTTATATTAGAATTAAACTAATCTGTTCTAATCTAGAATATATTTATATTAAGATTAAACTAATCTGTTCTAATCTAGAATATATTAATATTAGAATTAAACTAATTTGTTCTAATCTAGAATATATTTATATTAAGATTAAACTAATCCTGTTCTAATCTAGAATATATTATATTAAGATTAAACTAATCTGTTCTAATCTGGAATATATTTATATTAGAATTAAACTAATCTGTTCTAATCTAGAATGCAGATTGTATGATAATGACAGCTTTAACCCAAACCTCTGCTCTGATGCCGGACCCCATGATTGGAGATTTCTGCCGGATAGTCTGTGAAACCTTGAAATCCAACGGGAACGTTCTAGTTCCATGTTTTCCTTCAGGTGATTAAACCGGGAATTATAGGGACTGTTCAGTGTTTACTGTCAAACAGTTACAACCAAGAAATTGAGGAACAATTGTCGTTTTAGTTTTTATTAAACGTTAGAAATGCCATTAGTGTTGTTGTATGTCTACAAAAACAGTTAACTCAAATTTTGATTTGATATTAAATCCTGTTCGATATTTCTAGTTAAAAAAAATAGTGAAACGACAACTATTCAGGAGTGTATGTACTATGTATATTGTTTGAAAAATCCTCACCTCCCTATCTTACATTATTTTTATTTTAAGCTAAAAATTATATTTTTAGGTAAAAAGTTTAAAAAGGCGGTAGGGTGGGACGGACTTGCATGTCTTTTTGTGAATTTGCATGTCTTTGTTAACAGAAAAAGTGTACTGCAGATTATGGGAGGAATGTAAACAAAACTTAGCCAGAGTAGCACTGGCATTGTTAACACTCATCCAAAATTATATTGTAGTACACATTTTATTTTAATTTAAAAAAGGAAGATTCTTATTTTTTAAATATATTTTTTAGGGATAATCTATGATCTGTTTGAATGTTTGGCTGGACAGATGGAAATGAATGGATTAACTACTATTCCTCTTTTCTTCATTTCCCCGGTAGCAGACAGGTAAATTTAAAGATTTTTTACTTCCATTTTGTCAGTTTGTCAATCGGGGATATTTATGGAATTCGGGATAAACTAGCCTACAGACTAAGCTGCCTTGGGACTAGAATAAGGCCCAAGTCTTGAGATATGTTGGCACTCATTTTTTTAGAGTTGAGTCTTTTCTAAAAGTCGGTGAACACACCAAGTCGAGTCTAACTTTGAATATTAGAGTTGAGTCTAATGGATTTAGACTCGAGCCTAAGCTTTAAAATATCGACCATTATTTAAAAAAATTGAAGTTGAAATAAACATCTTCTCCTGTTCAGTTCAATGCTAAACCCTTAACTATTTAATTTCTTCCGAGATTCCAACTTTTGCGTAGATATTGTTAACCTTGAACGCTTGCTCTCGATATCCAATGTGGGCACCATTAAATCTTAAGATCAATTCTTGATCTCTTAATTAAGGATGCAACCATCATGGGATATCGGAAGAGGAATTAAATTAATCATTGGATCAATTCTTAATCTCATGAATTAGAAGAAAAAAGTTTAAAATATTTCTAGTTCTCTAGCCTACTCGAATATAATGGCTGAATGGTTGAGTGGTGCTAAACATAATAGAGTTTACCTACCAGAGGTGATTTTTTTATCAAAAAAAATATTATTTTTATTTACAATTTTATTTTTATTTATGTTTACAATAGGAACCGTTTATACATGGAACCCTGATCAGAAACGGAAGATTAAAAAGTTTTGCTAATCTCCAGGTACAATTCTTTTGTCAATCTTTGCCCTATTTTGTGTACAATCATAGAATCGTTGCCTCTTTGTTTTGTATGATCTTTGCCTCCTGATATGTGTACGATCTTTGACACTTGCTGTGTTAAATTCTAAGCCATCATTGGTCAAATTGTACAATAGGCCAATAGTCAAGAAGTTTAAACCATATTCAGAAAAATAACTTTCTTATTTTTGAACATAGAATTAGTTTCTTATTCAATAAATAGCTCATAAAATGGAAACAAAAGTTTTTAAAAAAATAGAGTTTATTAATAAACTTGATGTCCAAATAAATTAAGTTGGCAAATGAGTTTGTATCAATTAACATGCTTTTCTAATTTATGCTTCATTTAATGATAAAATATTGATCAATTATTTTTGTTAAATACAACATATTTGATTCAGACTGCTTTAAAAAAAATGTCGAGGCAATGAAATTATTTCGCAGATCAATTGCGTTTATACGCAATACGGTTAATATTTTTCTAATCTAGGATGAAACGATAAACTCTGAATACAGACAACCCTGTGTAGTATTCTGTGGACATCCATCCCTTAGGTTAGATTAGCAAACAGAGAAACTTCACACTTTCCGCAAACTTTAACTTTATTATTCTATCTTTGCAACCTAATGTCAACGTAAAAAACAAAATATTAATTAGTGGATTATTTACCAGTATACGATAAAATCATAAACTACATACTAGTCCTCTCGCAGGATTAGGTGGGCTGGGGTAACAGCCTAGGTTGCATGACGACCAAACTGACATGCGGCCTGACCCAGGTCGTACTTACCAGTATAAGATCCTTACAGGCCCCCTACCCCAAGGCTCGCATATTGTTATCTAATTGGGGTGCTGATGGGTCGGGTTACTCGTTTATTTCTAAGGTCACTTAAAGGAAAAATGAGGCCCTTTGTTATAAATAAATGTCGTAGACTTTTTATTTTCAAACTACGAATTCTACTAGATCAAATAATCAAAGTTGTGTGGATTAGAAAATTATAATTTGTAGTATGTGTTCACTATTCAGTTCCTTTATATATCAATGGATATATTTTTATGCTTTATTGTAATTTTCACAATTCTTTATCTTTGTCACCTGATTTAAAGACTAAAAATATCAGAATTAATTTTAGCCAAGCACTTAGTTTCTTTAATCGCTTAAAAAGAGAAAAATGTCTTTTGATGTTGAGCAGAAAATTAACATTCGTGTGAGTTAAAAATATATTTTTGAGAAATATTTTATTATTTTATTTAAATTCAATAATCATAGTTCTAAGGATAGGATTTAATAGATCTTCAATATTATATCTCCTTGGATCCGGATCCAAGTGGAAAATGATCAACAAAAGTATCAAATAAAAACATTGCTCTTAAAGGAAATATTTTAATTAAAGAGATATCATTGAAGTCAGTGCTCCGGATCCGCAAGAGTTTGGCTTCCTGGATCCGGATCCGGATCCAAGGGATAAGATATTAACCAAAAACGGCAAAAAAACTTTTTTACTTCTAAAACCCAAATTTGAACTTATAAAAAAAAAGAGATTATAAAAATTTCCTCATTTCTGAATGGTTCATCAAGTTTTAGGATAAAAATAAGCGAAAATAATATAACAAAAATTTGAAAATTATATTTTGTTAAAAAAAATTCAGTAAATCTTAAAGAAATGACCTGGATCCGGATCCATTTTTTTCCAGTACGGATCCAGGTTCCGGATTCAGATCAAAATCCGGATCCGAATCAAAATTAAATGGATCCTACGCACGGATTGAATTATTATCATTGAATTATTATTATTGAGTTATTAATTATCAACATTGAATGGTAAATCGAGTTTCTACATAAAAATTAGCGAGAAAAAAAAGAGGAAAAGTTAGGAAATCTGTCATTTATTAAATATATTAGCAAAAGTTGAGCTGGATAATTTGGACCCTGACCCACTTTTGAACTGAATGAAAATTTACATCTTATTATTATGTTGCAGGTTTGGAGATGCTGTTCATTTTATAGAGCTGTGGGGGAATAATTCAAACAATCTTGTTATATTCACAGGTAGCTGAAGATACATTAAGTGAGTGTTCGTCAATTTTAATGGATATCCTATTTGATAATTGTGATCTTAATAACCCAGTCCAACATATTTTAAACTGTTATTCTCAACAAGTTTGATTTGATATTACATCATATCATGCTAAATGCAAGGTGCAAGTTTGGGGGGGGGGATCAGATCCTTTCCTTATCTTATCTTGTTGACAAAATAAACAAAGCCTGAACTAATTGAGATTTATCGTTCGTTAACGAACTCTTACAAAACATTTTGCAAAGTATAACTTTTTAGATCATACCGTTTCAAATTTTAAAATACTTAAATAATGAACCATTGGCAAAGAGAATATATTTCAAATCAAGTTATAAATAGTAGATTTAGTTCAACTACTTGACACGAACGCCGTGTCAAATTGTAGAGAAGTGGTTCAACTTAGTGTACGCGGTTCAAGGTTGTTTCTTTATTAAATCTGGTCTCTGGTTTCATTTTTATTTCTGTTTCATTTTACTGTAAAGTAAAACTGATATTTGATTGTTTTTAAAAAACTTAAAGGTAAATTAAGCTTAAAATTATTTTGTTATAAATTTAAAAAATCCTTGATATCTTCCCCAGTACTGCTGAGAAAAGGGTGTTAACTCACTAACTGTTAAAGAGTGTCGTTTTGAATCGGGCAACTCGTTAACAATCCCTTAAAAATTTTTCATAAAAGCTTGATTGTTCTGAATTTATGTTATGTTTAGAACCCAGTGTTAACTATCTAGATGCTCTAGCTCCCTTCCAACCACTTCAGATGAAGACCATCAGGAAAACCGCTCATTTTCAAAACAATGTCTTTCATATTTTGAAATTATTTAAAATCTTTCAATTATCAATTAGATTATATTAGCAATGTGATATTGATAAGTAAGTCAAAATTTAATTCTGAAATCGATATTTTTTCTTGATTTACACACTCAATAATATTTTTCCAAAACAGTGCTTTTTTGAGCTGTTAAATTGTTAGTAAACCAATTGACACAAGTTTAAACTTCACACAAGCAAATAAACTCATTTTGGAGTCAAAACCTAGATGTTTAGTCATCCCAGAACAGTATTCTCATTCATCATCCACACCTTCACTTCCGCACAGGTATAGTGTTTACCACATCATCCACACCTTCACTTCCACACAGATATAGTGTTTACCACAGGTATAGTGAACCACTTCATCCACACCTACCTTTCCACACAGGTATACCACATTGAGTAGTAATTACTAATCATCCTCATTCAACACCTGCCATGACATTTGTGTCTTTAGATATTAATAACAATGAAAATAATAATCAAAGTGATAATCACATTCTATCACTTAAAGTGGTCTAGGGGTTCCAAATTGGGATATTTTTAGTTCTTCAGTGACCGATGGATTAAAAGCGGATTTTAAAAAATCATAAAAGGGAACAAAAAGTTTTTTAAAAATAATTTTTTTGTGTGTTTTGCTTATGAGTATTTGATGGCAACCAATATTAGATCTAGTAAAAAAGGACATTTTCTTTGTAAAAATTTAATTTTTATAGTATGAGATGATATAAATAAACAATCACAATTTAATGTATTCTCTAAACCCGCCTATCTAGTAGGGTCCGGTGTCATGTCAAAAAGTAGTTTAACTATTAACACTGACCGCCATTTTTGTTCAGTGACTTTTTGTATCCTTTGACAATTTTTTAAATAAACGCAATATTACTGTGTATAAATTCTTTAACATGAAGATCAGGTTTTTTTATTTGATTAACCTTGGGATTTGATTTAATAAAAAACTTATTTAGTTCTGAGATCAATCTTGAGCTTGGAATCCCCACCTTCACTTACAACAAGTTTGATATTCTTAAACTCCCGCTCAAGAGAACCTACGAGAACCTGAGTATTGACCCTGCGCTGGCCAGCACGCTCGTCCCAACGGAAGTAAGTTTTAAACGGGGAGTATATTTTTTAAAACTCAGCCCCCCTCCCCCCCATTTATTTTTAGTTTTGGAAATAAATTTTTTATCATTTATGGAAATTGATTGATTTATAGTGGAAAATACAAGATTTTTTTGCTTAAAAGTATGAAAAGGGTGAAAAAACTCTCCTGCTGAATGGTTTTATAACCTTATTGTATAAAATTCAAGTATTTTTACCTTAAGTATTATGTTATACCTAATTTAAATAATAGAAAATTTAACAGACTGGCTCAATTCTGTATTCTTAATTTCCATTTATGCTCGAGACCCAAGTAACCTAGGATGATCATTTTAGGAAAGTAATGAAAGTTTCTGAGTAGTTTTCTTTGATTGAGCCAGTTGTTAGCCATGATAATCCGGGAGGTGCCGACCATAGCACTAACGATCGGGATGTGCTTCTTCGAGCAAACTCTGTCCTTTTTACAGGATTGAATCCTGTGTACTTTTACGTTAAGTAAAGGGTTTTTATATAAAAAAACTCTCCTGCTGATGTCTATTTTTCACTTTTCTACGTCAAATCTTAGAAAAAATTATTAAAAATGTTCTTACTGATTTTTGTTGAAAGAGACCTGGCATACATTCGTCTTTTTTCTTGAAGGGACTTCGAAAGTAATTTCAAGTGAAATAGGAACTTGTCTGATTCATGAAGGCTCCCTTTAACCTCTATCTGAATAAAAATGAGTAAGATTTTGAATTCACTTTTCTATTTTGAATGGTGTAAAATTCGGATAGTTGACTTCCTGCACTATGCAGCATATATCCGCAAGCCACTTTATTTTATAGTGAATACATCACGGATAATAATCTTTTTTCGTCATCTTTTTTCTTCGTCAGACTAAGCTTTAAAGAGTACTGGACAAACTGTACATATAGAATAAGTTTACAGTCCCTTTAAATAAATTATTGCTCAGGTTAGACCCGGAGTAGCAATCGCTACAATCACTGGAAACCTGGTGGTTAGAGATAATAGGTTAGTTTGGAGTCAATAAATACAGAATTAAGATAATTTTTTATTTGAAATTGTTATTGTTTTAAAATGTTTTAAAATGTTTTATTATGATTTATAATGCAACAAAAGCTAAGATTATGTTCATAAAAGTGTGCGCAAAGCAACCCTGTAAATCTAGTTTTTTTAAATTCAAGTTTGTTTAAAAAAGGCCCCAATCTGAAAGCTTAGTTTCGGGTCTCGTTAGTCTTACCTCTATTCAAAACTAGGCCCAATTTAGCAAGTTTTATTGAAGTTTTTCAACTTGAGATGTAAGAATAGTTTTAGAAGGATAACCCTTAATTTATTAATATCAATCCGTTCTCCAGGTACACACTGCTACCCCTACCGGAGATAAAAACTGAGAAGGACGGGAAAGGTCGACCAGTCCGACTCCGGGAGGATTCTAAGACAGGGATTCCTCTCAACAAGCAGAAACCTTGTCATTATCTATACGGGAAACTAAACACAAATCAATTTGTTCAATCCCTAGCGTCGCAGGGGATTTCAGATGCTAAGGTAGATTATTAAAGTATTTTGGGCGATTTTATAAGAAAATTACAGATTTGTCTAAATATTATAAGAAATAATTTTTCAATATCTTTCCCAATCAAGTTGCGGCATGAAAATACTGTTGTAAGTCAAAGATCAAGAAACAAAATTCCTTTTTTGAATTAAAATATGTGACCTTCAATAATTAACCTTTTTTCTTCTTTCCCCCAAAAATCAACGTAAAAAACGTAAGAAAAGATATATTGCAGAAGTAGACAGAAGAACTTTTGTAAAAATTTTCTCTCATTTTAAGATTTTAGTTTTAATATTTAAAAAAAAAATGATCAAATTTTTATTTTAAGGTTGAAACTGGTCCAAATGGTGGATTTCCGGTTCAAATACATCTTCCGGCTGAGGAAATACTAATACAGGTACATTAGGGTACCCAAAAAAAGACCAATGTTTGATGAAATGAAGTGACATTTAGTCATACAATGTCAGAAGAGAAAAAATTGAGATTGGACCACTTGTCTGATATACCACTTGTCTGATATACTTTTCAGAAAACCCCCCAAAAATGCAGCTTTTCCTGAAAACAAGCATTTTTGACGGTTTTTTTTGGGCCTAACTCGGTCAATTTTGGAAATTTTTAAAAAAATTTAATGGATTTTATCTTTTTAGACGATTACGAAGCAAATGATAGATGACTTGATAAATTCAAGAAATATTGTTTTTGAGCAATGTAGAGATGTAGACTCCACGTTGCAATATTTCTGAAAAGTATATCAGACGGTCAAAATGGTCCGATCTCAAATTTTTTTTCCTTAATTTCTATGACTATATGTCACTTCATTCCGGTCTGCATTATCCACATATCCCAACTTGGTCTTTTTTGGGGTACCCTAAGGTACATTCTAGTGTACAATCTGTACATAAAAAAGTACATGAGTACATGACGTCTTAAAAAAATTTTTTAAGAAACACCATTTAAATGTTTTGATGAATTAAGTTTTATGAAAATGGAAAGAGAACTATCATGACCAAAAAATGAATGTCAAATTTAAAATTTAATTGGTATATTGATAAATACTAAAACTAGAATAATTTTCACAGACACAAGGTTACTCTTAAGAAAAAAAAATATTTTTAAATCTAAAAATTGTCCTATTCTTTTTTACAATTTGAATAATTTACTGTATTATTTTTGTTTGCTAACCGTACACCGTACACTGTACAGGTAGAGGAGAAGAGTACACATATCCTGTACGACCAAGCAGAGGGCAGTACAGCAGCGGATACAGAACGGCTGAGACAAATTCTGAAAGAAACTTTGCTTACGTGTATCTCAAAGTTCTAGGGATTTTATAGAAACCTCGGCCACATTCATCTCAAAGATGTAATGTCTTAGCGGAAACCTTGGCCACATTCATCTCAAAAATCTAGTGTCTTAGCGGAAACCTTGGTCATATTCATCTCAAACTTTAATAGATCACTAAATATCTCAATACTGAAAGTTTTATTGAAAATCTAAAATGCTTAAAACTTCATGCCTTTGTTAAACAGAAACTGTGGTTTTCAACATTTAAGTTATATTACTAATTATAATACAATGGTAATCTTGTTCAGAACCTAGTAATGTTTAAACTGAATTAATTTTTAAAATGTACCTTGATCTATTTTCATCTAAAAGATAATTTTTAACAATTACAAATTACTAACTCTAAAGCGAAATTTTTGTAATTTAGAAAAGAAGGAAGACTAGGGTTTTCTGGTTACCACTGGATGTGCATTGTATGATTATAAGTACCTAATGTGAAAAGAAATATTGAATCTATAAAACTTATATTCTGTACTCTGTATTAATTTCATAAAATGTGATAAATATAAAATATTATTTCAGAAAATGGGGGCAAAAGAAACGGGAATTAAACCAAAAGCAACCGGCACAAAAGGCAGAAATGTTGGAAGTAATAAACCAAATTTTACGGAGAAAAAGAAATTTAACGGTCCGAAGAAGAATTACACAGGAAACTTAAAGAAACAAAAGAACAGAGAAACTAAACTCAGGAAACAACTATTTTTTGCTAAATATATTTGAACGAAATTTTAGAAACTTTGAAGAGAGGATCGCTTGAATTTTCGATAACCGTCCCTTGCAGTTTTTCAACAATAATGAAGTTGATTCAAATATATAAAACAATAGTGTTCATGAATAATATTTTTTAAAGAAAACTTGATTTGCTGTAGTATCAGTTAAGTAGCATGTTTTTTTATCGGACATGATACTCTTAAAATAAAGGCAAGGGTTATTCAAATCACACCAACAGTCTCTATATTTTATAAGGATTGTTAGGGTAATTTCAAGTGACCCTCCAGGCAAAGACTGCAATGTCCGTTTTACAACAGTACACATTAATCTGATAAAATAGTTTTTCTGACACGCAAAGCAATTATTTTTAATATTTTCTCCATTGCTTCTTATAAGCAAGAAATGCGCACGCAGAGAAACCGCAAATGAAAATTAGCAGTTATAGAAACGAAAGCATGGATATCTAATTCATACTTAGGGTTTCGTTGTAAATTCGGCATTGCCATCTTTTTATAGACCCACTTGACATTATGCTTACAGTCCCTTTAAAATCGTGAAAAGTTCGATAAAATTATTGGTTGTTAGGATGGTGTTTAACGAAGGAGCCAGGAAGGAGTTTCTCACCGGGTTTAGGAGAAGGAAGGACGAGAGAAGAAAGAAAGCTCAGGAGGAAATAGAAACAAGGTTGAAGGAGGAAATTAAAAAAATCAAATCAGAAACAAAAAACAAGGTAAAAATCGAGTTATGCTTTTCTTAAGTATTTAATAAGGAAAAAGTAACTCAAGTTTCCTTTTAGAACACACTTGATAAAGAATCCTATATCCGTTTTTCAAATAATAAAAGAAAATGGTTGACTTCTTATTGAGAAATCGATGTTTGTCTTTTAATTTTTAGGATATTTGATTAATGATATGTTGATGTTTAATTAATATTTGATTGATTGATTTATTGATGTTTGATTTATTTATTGAAGTTAGATTGAGTTTTCGATGTTTGAGTAATTAATTTATTATATGATGCTAAATATATTGATTGATTGATTGATTGATTTGTTCAGTTGGAAATGGCAAAACAGAGTAAAGCGCACAGAATAGTACCAGAGATTGCTCACCTTATTGAAACAGAACAGACAGACACTGCAGTCACAGACTTCGGGTCTCACAGGTCTGGTACACAATATATACAATACAAATTCAAACATAAATCTCGGCCGAGCACCGCATATAGGGCTAGTGGGGCAGAATGTGTATATTGATTTGAAAATATTTATTTTTTGAAAAATTCATTTTTATTGAAGCTACTTTTTTGTTCATATTTTAATTTAACTTTTATTTGTTAATTTGTAATATTCTTGTTCATTGTGAGATTTGTATTTTGTGAAAACATATTTATAAAATGTTCACTTTCTTACTCCCAAGTTGCTCTTTTGAACTACTATACCTGGAAACACATGATTAGTGGTTGGTTGGTCGTTTGATCAGTAGGTTGGTTGGTTGGTTGATCAATTGGTTTGTCAGTTTGTTTTTCAGTTGGTTGGTCAGTTGGTTGGTCTGTTGGTTGGTCAGTTGTTTGGTCTGTTGGTTGGTCAGTTGGTTCGTGGGATAGATGATTGATTGACTGGCTGGCAGATTTATTTATGTACTGTTTATTTGATTGATTAAACATTATATCTATTTAGTGTATCTGTGACTACCCTGGATAGTCTGGAGAAGATGAATGCTCCTTGGAGAGCTAGTCCCGGGGTAATATTTTAAATGTAATAGGAATGTTTTTAAAAAAAGGAGGTATAAGCTGATATAGAACTTAATTCAATATCGATCGCTACTAATTTTTCTTTATAAAGAGAAAATGGTTATTTAATTATTTAGATATTTCAATTTAATGCATTCATATTTACTGTATAGTTGAAATTTTATAAAATATTTTTTTCATATAAAATGTACTTATAAGTCACGATTCTTTTGTCGCTAGGTGTTTCTGCTCTCAGTGTTTCATGGATTTCATATGGGAAGAGTGGGATTTATGTTGTGTTCAATGCCCCGGAAAATTCCAAAACAGAGAGAGCGGGATTGAATTTTGTAGATCCAGAAAAATAATTAAATTGGTATTTATTTATTGTTAGGTTAGGTTAAGACAATTTTTGGGCCGAGCGCTGCGGCCACATGTCTTACATTAAATATGCACCAGCTGCCAGTCTCTCTACGCAGGCATCTCACAGATATTTTTCTGGATCTACAAAATTCAATCCCCCTCTCTCTGTTTTGGAATTTTCCGGGGCATTGAACACAACATAAATCCCTCTCTGCCTTTCATTTGAAAGAGCCACCTAGCGGCCAAATAATCGTCGTTTAAAGTACATCGTATATAAAAAAGAATATGATGAAATATAAACTAGACATGAATAGATCGAATTGCATTTGACATTTAAAGGTTGTATTATCTTTATAATTAATATTAAATTTAATTGAATTATTGATGATATCGAATTATATTTGAATTCAATGTCAGCCAATACCCCATTTGATTTTTCGCGAACAAGCCCTTTAAGAATTGAGGAAATATTTAAAACCTCCAAAAAGAGGTTGCGTGAATATTTCCCCCTATATTCTAAAATTGTCAACTATTTTCTATGCATCAGGAGGATGATGATGAGGACGATGACGAGGATGAAGAGCCTGATGTAGAAGAGGCTGAAGAGGTTCCTGGGATGTCCCTAAAGTCTGCCCCCGCCACGAGGATCGTGAGCGTGGTGGACCCGAAGGAGCGGAAGCAGATCAACAAGGCCGCCATCAAGGAACTTCAAGCCTCGAAGGCGTTCAAAGCGAAGGAGAGAATACGTGCTAAGAAGCAGAGCACGGTTGCCAGGTTCTCCAGGGGGAAGAAGTTGAAAAAGAAGAGAGACAGAGTTCATAATCCTAAAAAAATTGTTGCCTAGAAAATAAATTTTTTATCAGAAACATTTTTAAAAGAATGAAAATGATGAATGCAGACAATTTAGCAGAGTGAGGGATTCCTTAGTAATAAGTCTAAATGTATATAGTTTTTGAAACATTCATTAGTTAACTGAATGAAAAACTGGATTTTATTTTTGTTATCTTCGTTAATGAAGTAAAAGAATTTTACCAATCAGTTGATTCTACAAAACTGACAGTTTTTACCTAATAGCTTTGCCAAGTGTGAAGATTTTAGCGATTTTTATGTTAACACTTTTTTACTAACCCGCTTATGAAATACAAGTATTGAGTAAACATAAAAGGTAATTGACAGGTTTGCTTAAAAATTATTGGAACTTTTATTTTTTTTTAAATTATCCATTTTTCTTACAGTTTTCTTGGTTTCTCTGGTTCTCATAGTTCTTGGTTCCTCAGTTTCTCATAGTTCTCTTGGTTCCTCTGGTTCTCATAGTTCTCTTGGTTCCTCTGGTTCTTTTAGTTCTATTGGTTCCTCTGGTTCTCATAGTTATCTTGGTTTTTCTGGTTCTTATATTTCTCTTGGTTCCTCTGCTTTTCATAGTTCTCTTGGTTCCTCTGCTTTTCAATAGTTCTCTTGGTTCCTCTGGTTCTCATAGTTTTCTTCGTTTTTCTGGTTCTCATAGTTCTCTTGGTTTCTCTGGTTCTCATAATTTTCTTGGTTCCGCTGTTTCTCATAGTTCTCTTGGTTCCTTTGTTTTTAATAGTTTTCTTGGTTGCTCTGTTTCTCATAGTTTTCCTGGTTTCTTTTTTCCTCTGGTTCTCATAGTTCTCTTGGTTCTTCTGGTTCTCATAACTCTCTTGGTTCCTCTTGTTCTCATAGTTCTCCTGGTTCCTCTTTGTTCTCAAAGTTCTCTTGGTTCCTCTGGTTCTCGTAGTTCTCTTGGTTCCTCTGTTTCTCATAGTTCTCTTGGTTCCTCTGTTTCTCATAGTGCTCTTGGTTCCTTTGTTTTTCATAGTTCTCTTGGTTCCTCTGGTTCTCATAGTTTCCTTAATTCTTCTGGTTCTCATAGTTCTCTTGGTTCCTCTGTTTCTCAAAGTTCTCCTGCTTCCTCTGTTTTTCATAGTTTTCTTGGTAGCTCTGTTTCTCATCGTTTTCTTGTTTTCTCTTTTCCTCTGTTTCTTATAGTTCTCTTTGGTTCCTCTATTTCTCTTGGTTCCTCAGTTTCTCGTAGTTCTGTTGGTTCCTCTAGTTTCCATAGTTCTCTTAGTTCTTCTGGTTTTCAAAGTTCTCCTGGTTCCTCTGGTTCTCATAGTTCTCTTGGTTTCTCTAGTTCCCATAGTTCTCTTGGTTCCTCTGGTTTCAAAGTTCTCCTGGTACCTCTGGTTCTCATAGTTCTCTTGGTGCCTCCTGTTCTCATAGTTCTCTTGGTTTCTCTGGTTCTTATGGTTTGTTTCGTTCCTCAGGTTCTCATAGTTCTCTTGGTTCCTCTGGGTTTCAAAGTTCTCCTGGTACCTCTGGTTCTTATTGTTATCTTGGTTTTTTTGGTTCTTACAGTTCTCTTGGTTCCTCTGGTTTTCATAGTTTTCTTGGGTGCTCTGTTTCTCATAGTTCTATTGGTTCCTCTGGCTCTCATAATTCTTATGGTAACATATGTTCTCATATTTATCAATAATTTCTTGGTTCACATTATTCTTCTCTAGTTCTTATAGTTCTTTTGGCTCTCATAATTCGGATGGTCCTCATGAATCTCTTAGTTCTCGTGGTTCGGTTGGTTCTCATGAATCTCTTGGTTCTCACGAATCTCTTGGTTCTCATGAATCTCTTAGTTCTCGTGGTTCGGTTGGTTCTCATGAATCTCTTGGTTCTCATGAATCTCTTAGTTCTCGTGGTTCGGTTGGTTCTCATGAATCTCTTAGTTCTCGTGGTTCGGTTGGTTCTCATGAATCTCTTAGTTCTCGTGGTTCGGTCGGTTCTCATGAATCATTTGTTTCCTCTGGTTCTTGTAGTTATCTTGGTTTCTCTTGCTCCCAATAATTTCTTGGTTCTCAAAGTTCTCATTCTTCTCAAAGTTTTTATTCCTATACCTCTCTTGTTTCTTCTGGTTCTCTTAGTTTAGCGGAGTTATTGTTTCCTTTGAAGAATTTTACAGAAGTAGTCGATGAATTAGTATTAAACGACTGGAAAACATAGCTTCAATAGTCACGCAACCTCTCTACTATCTTGTGTAGCTAGAGTTATAGCTTGAATTAAATAGTTGTTTAAATCCCTTGCCTTGATTAAATAAACCCAATCTAAAATTTATTTTCATGAATTGAATAATTCTAATTTAGAATTATTTAGATTATTTTAAAATTCGAATGTTTTTAACATGTTTGTAAATTATGGAAATAAACTTATTGTTTCTGAAATAAATAAGAACAATTTGTGTTCAAACTTCAACTAAAAGTTAACTTGTTGGAAAACGATTTAAAAATAATTTTCCTTTTGAAACCATTTTTGAAAGTTTAGATTTAGATTCCCGTATCGAGACTTAGTTGGTTCCGCCCAGACTAGTCATGTGTGAGGCTCTGTAGTGCACACACACCTAGATTCAGGCATATAGGCTTACTCCTCTACCCCCACACTATACAGGACCCTTCCGGTTATAGTTACATCCGGAGAGATCAGGGTTTTCTCCGGTGATAAAGTCTTACTCCGGAGAAAGTTTGGAATAAATGATCTGGAGCTGATAAATCCAGGTTTAGAGAAACATGTGTTTATGATACATCCGTTACATCCGTCCTATCTAGCTCCATAGACAGAAATAAATCCATCCGAGACACTACCTTTAATACATGTATTCCACATGCCCTAGTTACATTGTGCTTCATATCTACCGCTAAAACTACACCCCTAAAAGTGGAAAAATCCTGCCTCAAAATTCGCTCCACTTAATCTAGTCAACTACATTCTTTTAAGTCATAAACCGCTGGTGGAGTTAATAATGGAGAGACATCTTCTCTAATTGTAAATAGCAATCTAGTATTATTCGAACAAAATTCAAAACTACTCCATAGACGGAGCCATAGACCTGCTTCTTTAATCTCAGCTTTTAGCTCTATGGTTCCTATTCATTCATGTAACTGCAGATAACTTCGTTATTTTCTAGAATTCCCCGTACGTAACAGTAGACTCCAAACCAATGACGGAGAATGAATCCTAGTGAAGAAATCCGGAGCTTGGAGCAATTCATTCCGGAGCAGAGAACTCTCCCCAACCTATCCTACCATGGGAAGGAGCAGGGAGGTGAAGAAGAGGAGGGGGAGAAGGGTCAGTACAGAGAGCAAGGTTTTCTCCCGTACAGAGAGGTTCGAGATCTACAACCAGATCCTGGTCGTGATCAGGGCTGGTGGGGAGCTAGACCAGGACAGATTAAAGGAGAGATCACGGAGAGGATCGGATATTCGTATCCTAGACCAGACCTGGAGAACCCAACCAGGTTTCCTCCAGGATTCAACAAGGACCAGGACGAGGTTCTAGTGAGGAAACCCTGGAGAGGAGAAGGAGGAGAGGAAACCTTGGTCCGACGGGACGAATTGAAGAGTGAGTACGGAGAAGCTCCGGGTCCTGCTGGAGTAGGAGAATATCCTGTTGGATACACTCATCCTTACTATCCTCATAACTACCATCCATATTATAATCAGGAATGAGATAAATTCATCACTGTTTTTCTTTAAATCTGATCTTCATAAACCTTTTGTCTCAAACTTTAATACAGGGTTACCCATAAAGGATGAGACTTCCGAGAAGACGACTTTTCCGCCTTCGATCTTACAGGTTCCCTGCACCTGTAAACTTGTTACTCTTTTTTTCTCATTTAATACTCCAGTAAAAAGACAAAAAGACTGAATTTATTCTCGATCGTTAAATAAAAAGAGATTCAGGTTGTCATCAAAGTCTGATCTATTGTAGGCAGACCTGTATCATAAAATAGACCAATAACATGGTTTTGTTTATCTCAAGATGTGTGTAGGATGGAGCTGGTGTAAATCTAAATATTAACGTAAACTTTAATATTTATCCTACAGGTAAAAATAAAACCTTACAAATTAATCTATTTAAAGGAAGAGTACAGTTTACAAAATGTTTCTTGAAAAGTTACATACTACAAAACAACCATATCTTGACTGTCTTAGCAATCCAGAGAGACTCATTTTACAAAAGTTAATCAAAGTTATCTAAAAATGATTTATATTACAGGATATCCTCCGTCAGAATATGGATACAGTCAATACTCTGGATACAATAATCAGCTGTACGGATACAATGGATACAATCCTTACTCCTATCCGTCCTACCCCGCCCTCTCCTCCTACCCCTCCCTGCCCCCGGTATCCCCGGGCAGGGTGGAGGCGGAGCCCCCTGAGCCAAGGGTTCGTAGAAGACGGAGAAGAATGGCAAGGAAGGTTCTGGTTCACACTTGCAGTTTCTCCGGGTGCAACAAAACATACTCAAAATCCTCACATCTCAAGGTAATACCGGAAATCAAACAATTTTGAAATATCAGCAAACTTCAAGTTTAGAAAACTTTCCATAAAGATTAGTTTAATTTTGAAGAAGAAAAAAATCTTCTTTATTTTTTGTTTTCAGGCACATTTAAGAACACATACGGGAGAGAAACCATTTTTTTGTACCTGGAAGGTGAGGATATTATTATTATTATTATTATTTTAATTTTAAGTGACACTCCATGCAAAGACATCAATGTCCTATTTACAACGGTACCCTTGAAAGCTTTGTCTGATCAAGTATGAATTGATATCAATGTTTTTGTTTCTCTAATCTGTTTGTTTTCATTTGTGGTTTTTTTACGAAAGTGACTACTTGCGCATTTCTTACTTTTAAGAAGCTATGGAAAAACTCATAGAAATAAACACTGTTCAAGTTAAAAAAACAACTATATCTTTCACATATTTTTGATCAGATAAAGGTTTCAAGAGTACTGTTGTAAATCGAGTATTGCCATCTTTGCTTGGAGGAGGGTCACTTAATCCTTGCTTATCTTATTCAACCTTAAAGTTAATCAATTTTATGCATCTTTTATTTAGCTTCAAAAATTTTGAATTGAAATTTTGCTGCACTTTCCTCTTAATAGTTAAGTGAGGGGTCGGGAAATGAAAATGGGTTTTAAAGAATGACATAATTTAATTTTTAATCAATTAGAACTGTACATCGCTATTTTCGGCGTTTTAAGAAGGTTAATATGATTTTGTTTTCTCTATAAGAAATATAAGATTGATAATAGTTTAACCCCTCCCCCTTTTTTTCGGGAATGCTCCGTTAAAAAGAACTATAAATTTAATTCCTATATGTGATAGCTGTATATAAAACTAAATTTGATAATTATATTCAATAAAATGATATTTAACAATTTTTGAAATTAAACTCTTTAAGGGGGTGTTCTGCATTTTTTAACGGGTACTAAATGAAATGAATGAAAAATAAAAAATTAATTAGAACAGAAGAGAACACTTAAGTCGTTATATAGAGAACAAGATTAAAAAGTTGCACTTGTTGCATTTATATAATTAATATACATATATTAGTTTAAACACGCGCCTGCCTCGCGTTATATTACATCCAACAAATTAATATATTTAATACAATGTATAAAGACGCAACTGGGTTTTTTTTCATGGGTAAAGGGAGAAGAAGTTAGAATTCAAATCATTAACAATTAAATTTTAACCTTTATCTGATAGATAATATGGAAGATATCGTCGTTCTTATGGCTTAAAAATGTTTAAGTCTGACTAATTTTTTCAATGTTTCTGTGACAGAAAGCATATCTTATTCATTATTTAACATTCTAAGCTTTTAATTAAGGCTACCATGTTGATTCGGCCATTAAATGTATATAGAATTTTTTGAAAAGATGTCAATAGTCTCTTAATGCGATCTATCATATTTTCTTAACTCAGAATTTGTCGCAGAATCTAATCTGTCCATTTTCTCACGAAGCTCTAGTCTACCCCTCCTCCAACCCCTACTCTACAAATATGTCATAATCCCGTCCCCAGGCCTACAATCACGCTCACATCCTGCAAACCTTCTAGAGAGTCGAATCCTCGCCTCTCATTGGTCGGAGCTGTGACCAATAATAGGCGAGCACTGGCGGGCACCGACCCGTAACTAAAAGGCCCAACCCACGCAAGTTAGCTACTATTGTCTGGATATATACAAATTCCCTTTTGTCCGGAGACAAACAACACGATTGTAAAACTTCTTTTCAAACCAAAATCTCTAAATCTAAATTGGTCCCAATTAACAATAAATATTGTCGATTAAAAACTTGAATTAATTAAGTTTAAACCGAAATGTTTGGTAAGCGGAAAAAAATAATTAAAATCTGATTCTCATGGACTAAACTTATATATATTTATAAAACTATAAAACAATAAAATCAGAGTAGTATCAGTTTTTTCATATTTATCAATACAAATCGTTTTAGATCTCTCGATCCTCATCAGTCAATAAACAATAATAATATATAATAATAATATAATAATAGTATATTGAACTATTACAGGCCTGTCACTTGTCTTAATTAAAACTTTATACTAACGCGCGCATGGCTCTCCGCATAATTAAAACTTACTTTACTAACGCATGGCTCTCCGCATGATGTGTACAGAGTTACCCCCAAAAGATGAGACTTCAAAGACGACAGTACAGAATGTATACTGTCTGTTTCCATCTATACATATGACTCCACGGTGCAACTGTAAACGTATTTCTTTGTCAAATCAAATTAGCCCCGAAAAGACGATTTAAGACAAAATATTAAATTAAACCTTGTGATCTTTATATTTTTTAGTTTCAGGTCGTTTTTACAGTCTCATCATCTGTGTGTAACCCTGTGGAGTTGGGATCAAAAACTGTGGAAAAGGAAATAGACATTTATACACATTTCATGTATTTGACGTGGTAGAAATACATCAAATAGTTCTATACAGGAGTGGAAAATCAACCAGAATTAAGTTAAGATTCAGTGCTCACAATTGCTGTGTGTTTCAAGTTTAATGGAATATTCAAATTTCAAAATCATAACTTGAGTCTAACAGTCGTTTCTCTATTTCCTTATATATATGTATTTTTGTTTTTTACAGATTGACTGAAAGACTCAAGAGGTTGAAGAACCAAAAGTTAATATCTTCAAAATTCTAAAGATCCTTGAGAAAAAAAAGATTCTAAGTCGTTAGGTGGATTCGGAGGTAGGTAGGTATGTTTAAGGTAAAGTTATGTACGATAGTTGGAAATGTTGGTATATATCGGTATTTAGAAAAGTAGATATTTTGAAAGGTATGTAGAAAGGTATGAAGGTAGGTATGTAGAAAGGTATGAAGGTAGGTATGTAGAAAGGTATGAAGGTAGGTATGTAGAAAGGTATGAAGGTAGGTATGTAGAAAGGTATGTAGAAAGGTATGTAGAAAGGTATGAAGGTAGGTACTTAAATACGTTGGATAGATAATTAAATAATTTAAAACAGTAAATTAATAAACAGAAATATAAAATCTAAATGGACAGTAAATATGATAGAAAGATAATAGATAGATAGATAGATAGATAGATAGATAGATAGATAGATAGATAGATAGATAAATAGATAGATAGATGGAAAGATAGATAGATGGAAAGATAGATAGATCTGCATTTCAATATTTAAATAGAGACATGAAACATTATGATGGCAATAAGTAATTAAAAAATGTAAAACACAGTTTAATTAAGATAAATATATTAGATAGATAGATAGATAGATAGATAGATAGATAGATAGATAGATAGATAGATAGATAGATAGATAGATAGATAGCTATATAGATAGATAGATAGATAGATAGATAGATAGATATGTAGCTGCATGAATGCAGTTCTGAGTGTACTGCCTGAATAAAACTATTTCTTCCAGAAACTTGAAATGTTTGGGTGGAACTCAGGAGTTTATAGAACTAGAGGTCATAACCTTCACACCCTGGCACACACACTCAAACTCACACACTTACAAACACCCCCACTTCCACACACACACCCTCTCACACACAATCTAATGAGTAAATTCAGGAGCAAAGTCAGCTTACCTGATTTTGTAATACATCCATTGATGAGCAAATTATTTGAACCATAAAAGTCTTTTAAAGAGATTGTAGACATAGTTTCAGCATTTATCGATGCCAATGGTTTCCTATTTGGAAAAGTGTAAAATTCCGACAATTTTGTTTATTGTCTCTGCTTAATAAATCTGCAAGTCATTTACATGGAGAAACAAGGATATCTTTATAGTTTAGACGCAGAGTTAGATTTCAAAGGACCCTTTAATAGAAGGTTCACTTGATATTACGTCGACAGTACCTTTAGGAAAAAGATATTTTTTGTATCTATGTATTTTTACAGCAATGTATTTTTAAACGTCCTTAGACTAAAGTGAATACTGACTAATGTATTATAAAACCTCCTAATTAGTGTCAATATTTACACTTGAACACGTGACAGTTTAATGTTCATCAATCAGGGGGAAATTTTGACTTTATTAATCCCCCATGTATGTGAAATATCCCCCCCCCTCAGTGGGAACAGTTTGTTTACACAGTATAATGTATGAAACCTTTCTCTGTGGAAAGACCAAAAACGTGTGGCATACTCTGCTATAAAAAGGTGATGAATGCATGTAGTTCGTAATATGTAAACAATACATGTTAATTGTACAATGTAGGCATAATAGTAAATTGTAAAACATGTTTGTTCATTTTTTAATAAAGTCAAAAGTGACATTGATCGGAGAGGATCGAACACATTTATGAAAAGTAAAAACTAATAAAAAACAAATTTTAAAATAATAAATTTCTAATATTATTTTTTTGCTAATTTATTTGTTTTTACCACAGATCACATAAGTTTGGACGGATAAAATTTATCCGGACTGCAGGACAAATAAACTGTATCCGGACGGCAAGACGAATTAACTGTATCCGGACTGCAGGACGCATTAACTGTATCCGGACTGCAGGACGAATGGACTGTATCCGGACTGCAGGACAAATTAACTGTATCCGGACTGCAGGACGAATTAACTGTATCCGGACTGCAGGACGAATTAACTGTATCCGTACTGCAGGACGAATTAACTGTACCCGGACTGCAGGACGAATGTATCAAGACTGTAGGATGGTAGGACTGAACCCTTACTACAGTACAGGGTGAAGCTAGAACGATTCAAATGTAAACGGACTGTAGGGTAAAGCTAGGATGAGTAAACTGTTTACTGGGTACAGGATTAAGATATGCAGAGTACAGGATGCAGCTAGGACGAGTGTGCATTCGAACTGTAGGGTGAAGCAAGGACGAGTTTGCATCCGGACTGTAGAATGGAGCTAGGACGAGTGTGTATCCAAACTGCAGAATGTAGCTAGGACGTGTGTGTATCCGGAATGTAGGATGAAGCCAGGACTAGTTTGTATCCGGACTGCAGGATGCAGCAAGGACGAGTGTGTATCCGGACTGCCGGATGAAGCTATGACAATTGTGTATCCGGACTGTAAGATGAAGACAGGATGAGTGTGTATCCGGACTGCAGGATAAATCTAGGACGAGTGTGTATCCGGACTGCAGGATAAATCTAGGACAAGTGTGTATCCAGACTAC